ATGATGAATTTGCCCGTCATGCTGATTCCATTCAAAGAACACTTGAGTCGAATGCTTAATCATGAATTTGAAATCCCCGGATCCTCAAAAGTTGTGTTCTTCCTGCATTCCCACGAATGCATGCAGTTTCTTGAGTGTTATTCGTCGTTCATGCCCCGAGGATTTCTCCGAAATGATTGAAACTGCTGTGCTTTTCAAGGACGATTTCCATGTCTCATGGCAAACTTTTTGATGCAGGAGGGATTGTTAATAAGTTTCTCGACTAAATAATCGAAAACTAACGGGGAATTTTCAATTTTGAAAAAACCTCCCACGTTGTCTTTTTAATCACTAAAACTGCAGTGATGTCTATTCTTTTTGCTCATGATGAATCCACCATTTGCACTCATGTTCCTCTTCATGACCCGCAGCATATCACATGGGGAGACATTTACAGCCCTCTTTTTCATATACTGTACGCACTGTTCATGTTTCAACCTTGATGGACACTCTTTTCATGACAAGGATGAATTATGAACTAATGCATCATTTCAGATAATCTCGCATGATGCAAGTTCCCGTTTGGTTCAACTTCGATTGTCAGATTTTCATAACTTATGTACTATCCTTCGTACGTGTGCGGTATTCGTGAAGTAGCTGCCAATGAAAAGATGCGTTGAATGTTCAGTACCACGGTTCAAGTCCAGGCGTTGTGTAACATATTCATCCAGCTGCATGTCGTTTGTTTGACGGGTAGTGCGGGTCTGTGCGTATTTATCCGAAAAGCAGTAAGCTCTTTGCTCATCCCCGGCGTGTCACCGTGCAGATTGCGACGATTCGCGTCAAGCAAGATTTTTTTTCTCTCTCTGCGGTTTTCTTTCGTTCTGTGAGTGAGTGTCAGTGTAGTGGCTTATTGCACTGCACGTGTTTTGCATACCAGGGGGAAGTAAAACAAAAAAAGACCCGACTCTCGAGAAAACGGAACCACAAAGAACCCCGGGAGCAGAGCAATCATGAAGCGCGACGTTGATCAGTACTATGTACTGTGAACCGTGGATGGAAAGTCTTGTGGCTCCCACTCGTCGTGTTTCACTCGGAGATCCGCCCGTTCGGAAACCCAACAAGCGCAAATATTCTTCTAATTTTTCGGTGAGTCTCTTATCTTGCTTCCGGTGGTTCATACATGAGTCGCGAATGCTTGCACAGGAGTGCTCCATCTCTAGAACTACGGAAAGATTTGTTATTTTTCACGGTGTAATGCCAAGGCCAGACAATAACATGAAAACAGTACCGCGAACAGCGAGATAAAACATTCTATCGCATTCACTCGAGAACCCTCCTCCAGATTTCACCGGTTTTATGATATTTTTGCTGTGAATTTCAATTTACCAGCTTCCAGAAGATTGATCCTGAGTAAATATATTTTATTCAATGCTGCGTCCCCTCTAAAGTGCGGATCGCATCCCGAAGACAAAAATTTTTTTTTTAAATTTCCGACCATCACTTTTCAGCAGAACAAAGGTGCCAAACTTTGGTGAGAGCTTGCTTGAATATAATTTTTCGGATGACGCGTTTTGTTGGGAGTTTAAGGACAAAACCAATAAAATGTGTTCGCAAAATTACGAGTAATATATCTTCATGCAATTCCGAATCTAGAGCCGGAATTGTGAGATACGATGCATTCTCATTGCTGGGGAAACTTGTATGGTATCTAATTGCTGATAAAACACCAATTTCCGACTTTTTCAGAATGAAAATGATATCGCGTTATGAATATCAAATGAAGGTGAAACAAAAACTTCGAGGAAAAAAAATCCTGGAATCAGGTGTTTTGGGAAAAGAAGGTGCAAATGTTTGGCATCTCAGGGCAAACCTCAGTGTTATTCATCTGCTATTACTGTATTTTAAAAGAAAATAGAGCGATAATACTTGTTTTGCTGGGGATTCCCGAAGAATTCTCCCTCATATTCCTCATTTCGACAGAAAATGATCGTTGTCCAGATGATCACACGGATTTTATCGTCAGCATTACAATCCACCAAAATACAGTACTGTTCCTCAGTACTTCTCCGCTCCTCCCGCAGGTGCGAGATACTGTACTTCTGGTTGTCCGGTTGATGCTAGGATTTTTTCTTCTTTCGCATTGGTCGATCTTTCTTAGGCACGAAGTTCATAAATATATTTTTTGACTTTTAAATGTATTTCCTTTTTGTTGGCTTAATCGAGTGAATTACAATGCATTAAGCGAGCTAATGCGAGGCGAAAAAGGAATTCTCGAAGCCGTTACAAAGTATTATGCGGGCTATTTTGAGCGTTGTTATTCCGTGCAGCGGAGAGTGAAGCTAAGGTGAGCTTCTCAATTGGCGCGTATAGATTGGTCATCTGATATCGGCTTCGCTGCCAGTTCGAAGGATAGCGCATTATTCATGAGAGCGCGAGTCCGATTGTAGGAAGTGTTTAACATCCATTTTCCTCAATTTATTCACACATCAAGCGACGAAGTACTGGCATAACATTCGGGATATCTTCCAAAGATAACTTTGCTATTATTACCACATTCTTCGTTTCGTCGCAGCGTTCCCGACGCGATCCAGCTGTCGTCTTGTGCGAGTCTTTTTCATCAACTCACTCAGTGCGCGACGTGGCGTATAGATGAGAGCCACGAAAAAGCTGCGGGCGCACATTTCAAACGTCTTGTGATCCGTAACGGAGATGAGAAATTGAGAACGTTTCTGTTCAATTTTTGGCAGCGGACTTGCGGTGCCGGGATCCACTCTGACAAGGCACCGAAAAAGTGGAGTTAGCTTGGCTTTGTAGTTCGTGAATCGCAGTGTTTCGATTCGCGCGTCCTCCGGCACCTATTGCCTGTCGGCGCGTCCTGTGTGCTAGTGAAGCATCGTTCGGCTTTTATTTTCACTCGCAGCTCTCCGCCTGCTGACACGAGAGCGGAAGAAAACTCTGAACGACTGTCATACGCAGGTAATAATTATTCCTCATACCGCCATTTTTAGTGACATCCGTTTTTTCTCTCGCCAGGAATGCCAGGTTCCCCGTGTGCGACGCGTTATGCTAAACCTTATAACATTATTAAGGCCGGGCGGCTCTTCATTTCGTCACAATGATTTTCCTCGAGAATGTTCTTCGTCGTATGCCTAGATAACAGTCACATATTTACAGATTAGATACAAAGAAAGCTTGACAGAATCGAAACATCCATTCCGATACGAACGTTTCCGATAAGGTGCCGCCTAGGTGTTATTTTCCGGGACATTGACGAACTGACGCATCGGCGTCCCACGGGGGCTGGAATTGAGACTAGATAAACCCGAGCCATTCCAATAAGCTGCGGACCGAGGGCATTTCCCTGCCCTCCACGAAATCTCGCCGACCCAGCATTCTTTGATCACCTTTCTCATGGTTCCCCGCATTAACCTGAGTCTGATTGCAAGTGCTCCTGCGGCTTACCACAATATAAGAACACGTGGAAGCATGTGGAAATCGTTCCCACGCGCGGGAGATGCGCCGCCGGCAGCGGATCGCTAATTAGCAGGGGCTCAAAGCGAATTCAATGGGTCTCGAGTGTTTGCTGGAGCAGGTCGTGCACGCGCGACTTCACCAGCAGTAGGAGAAGGGCATGTATTGCGTTATGCAGAGTAGCCGAATATTTGCGCGTGGGCTCTGCAGGACTGAAGCCTTTCGTCTCTATGCCGAGAATGGTCATTAATTGAAGGGTTAAATCTTTTCAGAAAAAAGATCATAATGCATTCACTCTCTTCACATTTTATGAGTTGATAGCGGAGAAGAGAGCTTTTTGGGTCTTTCATTGATTTTATTTTTTTCGACACCGTCATGGTATGTCAGTGTTGAAGAACCGTCTATTGCGTGTACCACTTGACCGCGTAGGACCTGTGCAGAGCCTTCCGGGGCTTGAGGGCTTTATTTATGTCTTCAATGATAGTATTTTCAACGGGGGCTCATTTGAGAGCACCGTATTTCTTTAGTAATTCATACATTCAACCTTTCATACTTGATATAAAAATAGTAATTGTCCTAACACACTTCGTCTTCTTTATTCAGCTGTTTTAACTCAACTTATCAACTTAGGAGTCCCAGATTAGCTATCAATATGAGAAAAATCTGCGAAATATTTGACACGTACCAGACATGCCAATATGGGTACGTTGTCACCTTAGAACTCGAATGTTCCTTTGTGAATAAAACGCTCAAATCGGCAAAATTTAAGTTTTCTCTGAAGAGTTCAATTTCTGAAATTGCTCCAGAAGTTGCTCGAGAAATTGTCTTCGGATTTTATAACTTATACTACCGGTATTCAATAATTTCATGATTATGTAGCTGGTTCGCTCGCTCGGTAAAAATTCAACTTCGGAGACGAAAGCTTCGGATTTCAACAGCACAGAAATCTTAGCTATGTAAAATTACTTTTTAAACTTTGATTGAAAAAATCGTTTGATAAACAAAGTTTTCACGCGGGTGCAAATCGACGAAGTTCTCCAAAAGAAATTAGGCACAGAAAAGTGTGATGGACATTTTAACAATGACCTGACGTTTGTTCTCCAACTGGCGAAAATACAGTATGTCAAGAGGTCTGATAGAAAAATCGCATGGACGGGAAGCAGATCGAGAGCGATTCGATTAAGTGGTACCCATGTAATTCGGGGATTTATCTCTCTTATTGCTAGAAAATATCTTATTACCTATTGTGCTTGAAGAGCAACTTTCTTTCAAATATTTGAGAGAACTGCTTTTTCAGCCGTTTCCAAGTTCAGAAATTCTCCTAGAAATCGAGGGAAATATGCTGAGTAGGTGACTCATGCAGACACCTATTGGTCCATTTTAAACCATGTTAGGACTCTGCTCTAGCTAGTAGCGTATTCACAGTTGATCCAACATACAGGTACGGGTATTAAGAGTCCAACCTGTATTGAAGTATTCAAAGATAATTGCGGTTCTGTTCAACATTTGCTGCATTGCGACAATATTCTTACGGAGTCCAGAATCGGATGACGCATAATAATTGTCACTTCTGGCCTTCGAGCGGTGAAAGAGAAGTGGCCGGGTTTGGACTTGATTTATTTGCCTCGGTTTTAATGAGCTCGTGGCCGGCGGGTGCGGATAGCGAAGCACCTACTTCCGGATCCGAGAAACAACTATCGAATCTCGCGGATGATCAGGTTTCTTGGCCTCGGAACGAGGCAGCTGAGCGTCAGATGAGACTTCTCAACCACGAGTTGTGCTTCTCTTTCCTGACCTCAAGACGATCTCAAGTCGTGTTACCTTTAATTTGAAATGACTCGTCGGTATCGTGAACGCGGCACGAGTTCCATTTGGCATGACTCTAAGAAACACTTATCATGCAAATTGGCTTATTCGGGACTTTTTGGAACCAGCGATTGTGTGGGCAGGTGAAACTGTCAACAGTTCATCGTCTAGAAACCCCTAGCGTTAACGTCATCTAGTCGATATGAGTAAAGGTGCAGATGATGAGGTAGTCATTGAACTTACATGTACTGTATTTTGAAGAAATTTAAATCAGAAAAGGCTCGTTAAATCCATACGCAGTGTCCATGTCGTTCAGCCCCTCGAAAGGGACCACCTTTCATGTTTTTGTTGCCATCATGCCACAACTTGACTCGCTCTACGATTCTATTGTCTACTGGGAAACTTTCTATTTCACATACCCCGAATACCTCGTGATCCCAAGAAATCTTTTTTTTTTTAATTAATTTAGTCTGCCGTTCACCAATAGATATTATGTGCAGATAGAATTTCTTACTTTCTTAAAAGGGAGAAAGAGAGTCTTTCGTGGTTAAGATTTTCCCTAAATTAAATAGCCTGAATTAAACGTGAGTCGTGAACTCTCGAAAATCCTTTTCCGAAATAGTTTCTCCCATGCGTTTAAGCTCTTGGAATGCCTCCGGTATAAATACGTTTCCAACGGATATAATTCGATGCTCCAGCAATCCAAAAAAAAGTAAATTTGTCCGATCGCTTGATCAGGTCAGGAAATGTACGAATATTTCATCAAATTGATACCTTGTGGACGGGGCATGAATTAGATTACCAAGCCGACAATTCGACCTCTGGATTTGAATCATTCAGTTTTATGACAGACGTTCTTGGAACTGCAACTTTGAAATTGGTAGAATGTTATGTCTGTAGCATGTTACTACTTCGAAGTTCTAGGAAGAAGTAACGACCCAGCAACGACAAACATGAATTGATTTACGGAGATAAATCGTTGGAGAACCGGTCGGGAGGAAACCTGGTCTTCGATCTTGGTGGCTAATTTCTGCAGCTTGTCAGAGAGAGGAGAGAGAGAGAGGGACCAGTCCATAAATGCAAGGAATCTCAATTAGATAGGATTCCATGCTTTAAAAATACAGTTCATTAAACTCGGGAAAAAAGAAAATAATATTGAAAATTTCTTCGTTTTGCGGCGAGAGAACTGTGATCCTGGGCGAGTTCCACGTTCACTTCAAACTAGTCATAATCCCGCTGCCGTTCCAGAAGAAAATAATTAAAAAAGGAAATTAGAACTCGAGAAATAAAGTACTGTATGATCCCTATAAATTTTCACGTCCAAGAGTAGTGCCCATGAAAATGGGATAGGAGGACTACTGGGTCTATAAATCATGGTAAAAGCCACATAAATTACTTTTTCAAGGTGCTTTTGCGATACAAATTGATTCTGGAAAGGCCTCTATGAGTCAAAAAGGTCGAGGTCTGCTTTGAATGTTTCGTAGAGTCTCATGTTGAAGAAACAAACTATCGCCAAGATTTCTTACGTGCTTTCGTAAAAATTTGAAAGCTACGTTCAAAACGATTGCATGCAATGAAATATTTGTGTTACCGCGGTGAACTACTCTGGTGAATGTTCAGTGATTCAAATCCCCTAAACTTCCTGGATATTAGGATTTATGCTAAGTACGTATTCGCAACGAAGCACACGCGCGTGCGCTTACAAGTTACCTTAGGGACGCCGGCCGGTCCTTTCAAATGCGAATATAGCCCCTTCATTTGCATTTCTTGTCCGTGAACTCTCCTGATCGACAGGTCGTACAAACCAAGTCTTCCGCTATTCTTGCGCACCCTTGACCGTGACGATATCTTCTTTTGTTTCAGATCAGTCCAGCATCAAGCATGTTCAAGCTTTTCAAAAGCAAGCCGAGCAATTCTACGAAGAATGCGAAAAAGTCTGGTGAGTAGCGACATCTCGTATATTTAACAAAGATCTCATGACGGAAGTGATTCAAAATATATGGTTAAGATGTCGAACCATTTTTTCGCGCCAAGCAAGGATTCTGCGGTTTCGTCCCTCGAAAGTCTTTGATGTTCATCTACAGTAATTCTAAAGCAACAAGGATAAGAAATATGAAAGACATGATATAGGCTTACAATAATTATTGCTTGCAAAGCTCATTCTTCCAGCTTTTTTTTCCGTAGTTGTCGTTGCGCGTAATAATGATGAGAATACCTTTTTTTAATTAACGGTGTCCACAATGTTTTATTTTTGGGCTGGCCCCGGACAAACTCACTGAGACGTCTGATTATTTCTTAGCTTTAAAAAAGTGCGTGAAAAATTTGACGCTGTCAGGGTTCAGGGTTTCTAGATGTTTACAACGTAAGGGTCTGCCCGTTCGAGCATTCACAAACAAAGATTATCTGCAGGTTATCATCGGATGAAAGATGCAATTCGGTAAGATACGTTTTTGGTAAATGCGTCGCGATTGTTCCGTTCAATTCGGACAGACAAACTCCAAATGCCAGAATGACACGTTCTTTGGGAACCAGTATCCCATTTGTACATTGATATTGCTGGGGTAAGGTCAAGGATCATGCGTTAAGGTCATTGACGTCGTTGGCTCATGAGAAAGTTGAATACTGTATATTGAATCACTCAAAAAAGCGAGAGCTTTCTGTTAAATAATGATCTCGCGATTACGTACCGCAGCGGTTCGAAGAAGTGGGGTATTGATTGATTGAAATCCGTTACTTTAGGAAACCCGAGAAGAACATCAACGTTCGCCATATTTTCGCGCGGATTCCGAGCTGAATTCAATTTGGCACACCCAAGTGATGTACTTCTTAGATTCAATTTTCTTTCGCTCGTTCCCTATTGAACGACTTTCATTTTCGACGCCTGCTGAGGAACGTCACCTAGGTTCGCGGAGCACAATTGCCGCTATTTAAGTTTCGGGAAGTGCTTCTATGCACTGGTAAACTCGGACGGAAACCATTTGAAAGTTGTCCGATACCGTTTCGAAAGTTAACGGTATACAGTATTTATAAGGAACGCGTCGGTTTAAAATATTTTTAAAATTTTAGTCTGTTGTGAGATAGACTACTGGTGTGCATCTTGCCTTGTATATTCATGCGATGATGCAAGTTCTTCACGCAGAACTTCCTCTGATGTGTTTCATTCGATATTCTCGGTTGAGATGTTCATTTCAGTTCATAAGTGAATTTTTATTCCTCGGAAATTGTTCGTTATCACTTCGGGTTACATGTACAGTTTGGTACATCGAAAAGATTAATATTCGAGGAAATTCAATTCGTTCCAAACAGATTTGAAAAATATCAGCAGCAGCGGCAAATCTGAAACGTTCTTATACGAAGTTTTCAACCTTTTGGAAGATTGCTTTGAATTACAAATTCAGGAATGTGGGCATAAATCAAGATCGTTTCAGAATCTATTCGTAAATTATGGCACGGATATCGAATTATCAGAATCGAATTATCAGAGCATAGTCCACAGCTCAGCAGACGATTCAAATATAGACAGGCGACACCCCTGAAATTCAGTATTACAGCTATGAAAAGCCACGTCCTTTTGTTCTCTTTTATTTTGGCATCATGTGCTGTTTTCCATATATTTGAATAAAGTCTGCTGAGCTGTGGACTATGCTCTGAAATTCGATATCCCTGCCATAATTTACGAATAATTTCGGGAACGATCTTAATTGAAGTCCACATTCCCGAGTTTGTAATTGCAGTAAAAGAAATTGAATATGAAAAACCATGTCCTTCTGTTTCCTTTTATGTGCATCATGTGCTGTTTTTCAAATTTTTAATGCTGTGATGTATTTCACGCCTGCAGTCAAACATCGCTTTCCTTTGTCTAAATACCGTACACAAAGTAACAGCGTTGTGATCCCCCCCCCCCCCTCTCCCCATTTCCTTCAAGTATATTCGAGGTGACTTCGTCGAGTTGTTTTTCCGGCGATGTGCCTGTAGAGCCGTATTAAGAGAAGGACGCTTTTCATTGCGCTAGTGAATGTTCCACGCAGGGGGCAACGTTCTGAAAGAATGAACGGACGGTTGTTTTTCTAGCCAACTGTCGCAGGACCCTGACGAGGCCTTGAAGTGTGGCCTCACTTTCGACATTGCAGTTGCATGCCCCGTCGTTCTGCACCAATGACCTTCGTGCTGCCGACGCGTGAATTTCGCCGAACGTGCCGCGTACGGCGACGATACGACCCATCAGTCCGGGTAATCGATATGCTGGGCACGAATGCTAAGGCACTTCCTCGTTTCCCGTAGCCCGGCTGCCCGGGCTATTTTCGGCCTGCTTCGGGGATCAGCAGGAGTTGTTCCGTGGCGGGGGAAGGATCCATCCTCGCTCGCGTCTACGTGCTTCGTCCCCGGGGGCATGCTGGGCATACGATGTGGCTGACCTCCCTAGGGTATTCCGGTACGTTCTAGTCTGCCAACATGTGAGCGAAAATCTCTATGATACACGCTGTAAAACCAACCTCCGGCTTCGGAATCAGCAAGCAACACTGCACTTGCTTGAGTATCGTTCATTTGGCGCGGGGTTCAGTAAGGGTCAAGCCGAACCCTGCGCTGCCCAACGCAGGCATCTACGTCAACCATCTGAGCGTCGTACCCAGCATCCACGCAATGCTCAGCTTACCACGGTTTACAATAATTTTTCACCTGGTTTAATTTTGAAAGTTTAAATTAAAAAAGTTGAAAAAGTCCCTTTACGGGCCGCGTGCGCGCTCAAGTCCCACCCTATGATACGAAAAACGTGACCGTTAAATGTGGTGCAAAGCGAAAGCAACTACGAACCCGCCGTAAAAAGTTTTGATGGCTTTAGCTTTATCCACGTCTGCGTCCAAGTAAACTTCGTTTGAAAAAGAGAACTCGTCTCAAAAACCCATTGTTGGACATACTTTCAAGATCCCCTCCCCGGAAGCAATTTTCTCGAAAACTAGTCACAGCGCTACTCAAGTGTTCATTCTGGTGAGAGAATCGCGGGATTCTATTGTTGGAGGGGAATTCTAGAGGCAGAGCGTGGGCTTCGTGGACGCCTTGAGGCAATGCTTTGCGGGGAGTTCAGAACTGGGACTCAGATCAGAAGTACTCCTGCGTACTCGCACCGACGCAACACTTTGACTGCCCCTCAGATTCGTCCTTGGACTGAAACTGTTTACGAAACTCCAACCCAGCACCGAAGCACGTTGATCGTAAACGAAACCGCATCGCCGCCACGCGGATGTTCGCTTTGACCTCTCTGATTTTGATACAAGAATGTTCGATGAACGTCCCACAACACCTACTTTTATGCGACTCCCACTGATCACTTCGCGATGTCCTTTTTTGTCTAAATCGCATACATTCTGCATTTCAAAAGCTTTCATTCGAGCGGCAAAGGCAGGTAATCCGACGAAGTACTGGTCAAGAATTGTTTCTGTTTCAGCGCGGAGTGTAGCCTTCAACAGGAAACCCCGGGAATTCAAATGTTTTGATGAGCGAATAAAGCGAAATGTCCCTTTTATTCGTCCTCCGAATAAAAAAACACCTTGAATATATCTTTCGTCATGAAATCATTGACATAATGAGGAAATCAGCCACCCTTCAGCAAATCTTTGTTTCTTGCTTTATACGCGTGTGACTAAGAAAATTCTTTTGAAGATTTCCTGAAATGCCAGTTTCCTATTACTGAGGTTCGAAACATTATTTTTTTCATTTATGAAAAAATCCGAAAGGACATATCTGCACGAAGTGATTCAAAATTGATCGGAAGTAATGAAAATTTTTGTTTAACTCACACATTTCTTCATCCACTGGAACGAACCATGAATTTTTTCATTTCCCAGAGTAAACTTTAACCAGCTAGAGGGTAATCCATTTTTCGGCGAATAGATATGAGCTCGATACTGATGGATTACTCCAGATGAGATTCATTTTAGCGAATCGGTTTGTCCGATCAGATTAATGCTAGAAAAAAGATTAATAACTGCTGGATGATTCTCTTTCGCAAGAAACCTTTTTCGCCTCCCAAGAACCATGGGACAGATTATAATTTTTACGAAAAAAGGACTTTCTGTTGAAAAACTGTTTTTTCCTCATCGTCGTTATTCATTCACTACATTGTCCCCAGCGATGCTAAGCATAATTTCAATAATTCATACCCGGAAGAGGAAGGTAGCTTTGCGAAAACCCGTTCGTGATTACGAATTACGTCCGCTCCATCGTGAGCAAGTCGGACATTAAACCAGTCACGTTGCTCGCGCGTGAGCTCAATACCGTCCCCTTGTATTTGTAATAGGTTTTGACGAATTTAAGCGAATGCTCGCGTGTCCAGGTCTACTCCAGGTCTAAGCAGAATTGCTGCGTTGAAATTGAACGGTGCTTTTATTAATTCGGACGCTCGAAGCTTGTTCCCATTTGCCCCAGAAAGACCTTAAAGCTTAAACGGTGGTCGTTATCCAATGCAAGATCGAGTTTTTCTGGGTGACTTACAGGCAATTCAACGACGTCATGGTGTGATGAAACATGCTCTTTTACGGCGAGAGAAACGTGCCCGAAGCATATCAATCAACTGATGACTGAATGCCGCTAATCTTCAATGCTTTTACGGCAAATTTTAAATGACGACGAAACTTAAATGCAATACGGAGTAACATTTTTCGAGATATAGCGCGGAGTTTTTTCGGAGGCAAATTCGTTGTCACGGGAAATACATGAAGTCCGCCCTGCTTGATATGTGCTGGTTTCATGTTCATAAGCTTACATTTGAGAGCTTGTCGGAATGACGGGTATGTGGGGAACTGGCACCCTGGAAATCCCTCGAATAGCGTCGGGAAAGGTGGAGAGTGATTGACATTCCCAGTGAATGAATGAATGGAACCACACGAGTAAACGGAATTGAGTGAAATGCAATTTTGGACATTCTAGAGATGTTTCCGAGAATTTTGACGCCTGAATACATAACAGAAAATTAGTTTCTCCACTCCAAAAAGTGTGATGCTCGAGTTATCCTGCTCGCAACTCTTCATGAAAAATGTTCGTTTCAATTAAGCTGGCCTTCATACATACGGTAAAGCTGCGGGGTCAAGTGAGTGTGGATGAGGAGAGTTCATGATTGGATATGAGAACCTGGGACAATTGATCCTCATCTACTATTCGAACTAGAGTATAACTATGTTTTCTCGAGAAGTTGGTGACTAAATTTCACTGCTCCTTCGATTTTTATCACGGTTTTTCTTTTTTAAATCCCAAAGACCACTTCATTTGATGAGAAATACAGTACTGTAATCTTAAAATGTCAAAAAATAATACGGGGGAAAAACGTCGGAGTATAGCTTATCTTGTCATCCTGGTTATTTGGAAAATTGATTAGACTGTGTCCGACGATAAAATCTGTTCACGATTACAGAAATTCCAACGCGCAGTTGTGCATTCACGACTCGCGTTTTGCGCTTCGTGATGCTTAAAAAAAGCGCGGGTGCTTTTGACAATTTTTAGTGATCACGTTTGACTTGAAAACTAAGGTTTCCCATCTTCTCCGACAAGTCTTATCAACTTATTGGACGGAATTGAGCGCAATCCAAGAAAGACACGAGCTGATGCACCCGTCCGATTTTATAGAGCTTGAGAATAACGCACTTCTACTGGGGTTTTGCCAGTCGTCGGAGTGAGTGATTCTGCGTGTTGGAGATTATCAAGCCTGTCTTGTCGTCAGCGACGCCTCGTACCGGTACTGGGCCGACGTTGACGTCTCAATTTGTAGTGGCCGATGAGAGATCATCCTCCGGCTCTGTCGTCCTTGTGCTCGAGGAATTCCTTGGTCCAGCGTCGCTGCTGGTGACTAGGATTCACTTTTGGAGCCATTAGCAGATTTTCCTCCGCACCGAGACTGTGTTCATGCGTCGCCGTGTTCCTCTTTCACCAGCCGTCCTCAATGTCCCTGCATTTCTTAACAGTGACAACGCTAGGTCTCTTGAGGGACTCGCCATTCTGTCCTGCTTCCGTCGGCGACGAGGCGTTAGGCGCGAGCGAGTCGATGTCGAGCCTGTAAATGGCTTGCCGTACAGGACAAGAGCGATCGAGGCATTGTTCCTTGAGCTCACCTTTCGTGTGCGATGAGGGATGGTTATTTTAACGCATTTGAACAAGCGCCTCCTTGCCATGGTCAATTCTGAACAGCATTTTACAAATTTCTGTCGTCAGCTCAGCAGGCTTGGAGCGACTGATGTCAAGATTTGTTTGGATTATCATTTCAGCTGAATTTATGAGACGAGAAAATAACTAACACGCGCGAAGTTATTGTGATACTGAGCTTCTTCATTTCACGATCTTGAACAGCACAAAAAAAGACTGATGCACTAAAAGTAAAAGACCTCAATAAGTCAAACATTACAATTACAGCACTTCTTGGAAAGTGAGCATCTTTAGGAGCTGGTTCTAAAATGTAGGAACGTATGTACAGTACTTCAAAGTAAAGTACGTTGTCACGTGTTCTTAATGCAGAGAATTCTCTCCAAATTTGGATATTTTAGTGCATATAAATTTTAGAAAGCGTCTTATACTTGATGCCGTCTCAGACCGATATACAGTGCACAATTCATTCTGACCGACACAATCTTTTGAATACTAATCACTTCTGAAGTTTAAGAGAACCTTTTTTGCTTCTAGGACAGAACATTTAGAATCCCGATTTATTCTAGAAGAATTAAGTGCTCTTGAAGATTATGCCGGTTACTGAGTCATGCATAGAAACAACGGACTCCTAGTCCGAAAAAATTATATGCGATAAAAGTACATTCCGTATTAGTGTTTTTTTTTTCAGCATATAGATCTGTATTTCATATTCAATGCCATATTCTGTTGAAGTAAATATAGGGTACTGCGTTGAAAGACAAGGTTAAGTTAATTCTTTAAATGAGAAACAAGTCCGCTCTCTCTGTTCGAGAACTATTTTTAAAGTGAGGACAAGAACCGGGTGGTGTGCTTTGCAATCGGCAGAAATGAGGCAATCAGTACTTTAGTCTCTCGTGGCCGACTGACTGTTAAAGGACGAATAGGATGTACTGTATTTTGATAAATCATGCGTGTAACTTAGCGGTGAACCCTTGCATTTGCGTGCAGAACCCCGGAATTAATGGAAGACCGCTCAGCCGTTATCTTATATGCTCATGCCGCTTGAGCTTTCTTGCGACGAAAGTTATCTTACATTGCATTAACGATGAGCATACCATCAGATTATCCCTCTTGCTGGAAATTCGCCCCGGTCGATGAGTTATTTATATTTCCAGTCCTTGGTGAAGGAATTGCATGCTTAGAAAGCGTTCAGAACTTCGCCATTATGTCACGGTACACGATGACTTTGTCGCAGGGAATAGTGCCATAAAAGGAAAATGTATAAGTATGTAATCCACAAGACATTCAGAATTAATGCGTGTGATAATGAGGACTTTCTCTTATACAAGCGTCGAAGCTTTCCATCGCAGAGATTTGCCTGCTATTTCCCAGGATTAACTTCAATCGGAAATATTTCGGAAGCTTTGATCGTTGACTGCATCCCTTGCTTCCGTGGACACACAAGATTTTCGAAGAGATCAACGTTTCCTTTTCTGTCATCTGTAAGATTGAGGTGTCGCATTGCTTTGCTGATGACTTGTTCAAGAACAAATGCTTTGATTTAAATTTCACGAATATCTAAGAATTTAGTCTTCTTTCAGAATTTTATTAATGTGATGGACGATACGTTTTCAATTTTATGGCGCCTGTAATCTAAAGTTCTAAACATTCGGGAACCTTGAAAAATGCTAGTTACGAAGAAGACACACGGAAACTATTTGCGAAAAACAGGATAGTTTTCTTGATTGTGAAAGAACCCCGTTACCTAGGCTCCCGTAATCCTCCAGCGAATGACTGGATTCACCTTTCACATGGGTAGTGAGATATGGGTTCATATATCTAATTAAGTGGTTCGGTATGCGTAATACCAAGGTGATGGTATTACGCATGGTGGTCTTCGATTTCGAGTCCGTCGCAAGCTTTTTGATATTTTATATTCCGCTGGGGGCTGTGTTATTCCCCCGCACGAACGAGATCATTACAATCTACAATTCTGTATAAGTTTCACGAGCCACAGCTAGATGTGACTTATTTTTTGTTGAATCCATGCATTTTTTTTCAATCGAGCACATTCATTCGGAACCACGTTTCAGGGCCGTTTGCCAACGTGCTTTCGGGTGGATCGAATGAGTCCGTGCCACAACCGTCATTAAATCTGGATTGATTCCAGATCCCCGTTCGAGACAGTAACTTCGTCTGACTATAGAAAAATATTGATGGGGACTAAAATTCCATCAGCACTGCGAGTTTTTTTTCTTTTTCTTCCCCTGTTGGAGTTCCTGGCCCGGCAAAGGAATTTCGGGAGAGAATGGCGAAGAAAAAGACTTCGGAAGTGAGAATATTCCACAGGCTAAAAAACTCCAGTTGCTGCGATTACTCGTCAGATATTCCAGAAAAATTCTACAACGAATTTTGTTGATTGATTCCCAATTTTTCAAGGCGAAAGTATATTACATCTCTCGTGGCTATGATTTTTTTTTCTTCACGCAGCCGTTCAGGAAGCTCTTTCAGGTCGGGAATTTAATATAAATTCCAGAATTATCGTCACTATGAAAAGATAGTTTAATAATGCAACAAAACTTGTAAGAAGGAAGGCTGAAAATGTATACCTCGTCTGAAATGAAATGAGCATTTTGAAATTTCCAATTTACTCCTCATCTTTTATTAATCGTATTTTATGGACCATTTATTTTTTAATCTTACGTTTTATGTTTTCGAGATTTCGTAACCCGGGATATTTTTACCTGCGGGAGTTTGCCTCCGCGGGATTTTCTCAAGGACATCGAGGAAGATATCGGGGATCATTCGGCGTTCGATGAGGGTAGGAATTCCGCTGGATAAAGAATTCATACGGCCCACTTCTCGATGACTGGACTCCCATCTGCGCAGAAACCTCGACCTGTCACCTACGCAAACTTGTTCCTTTCATAACCTGACAAAGATTCGGGACACCGGGGGTTCTTTATTGGCACACTTGTCGACATCTTTCCGAGCGTTGGTTGGATTGCAGAGAATCTTGTTACGCCGAGATTATGATTGCTGAAAGGTAAAGAAATGAGTTCTCCGTGCCCGCGTCGGACATGCTACGCATATCTTTGGGGTATTTCGCTCTTCTGCTACTACCAATGAAGATATTTCACCCTGCTTTACGGAGACCTCATTTCTTGATGAACATAGATCAATGCGTGTTCCCGTCAATCAAGTTATTCCATGAGACCGTCTTACGAATGTAATTTGATGATGAGAAACCTGCACTTCGCCCGATTTTGACGAGGTCTTGCAGCAATTCCGAGAAAATATGGCTTCCTGCGAAAATCCCGCGGAGAGCGTAGCATTAATTCATTCCTCTGAAGTTTGAAACCCACGCATGGTGAAATTACTACCCCTGTGCGGTGGAGATGGGGCAGGCAGTAGCATGTCATCAATCACATGCCAGGGGTTTCAGGTGTTGGTTTGAGACGACGCGGGGAGAGGTATACCTTTTGCAATTTTCATTCCTTGCACCGGCTCCACGTGGTTCCGACATCGCGGGTATTCTGTAGCTGTATCGACGTTTGCGAAATACAGTATGCGTGCTTCGTGAAAGGTTATTTTTTCGCCATTTCCAATATCCAGACTGGCTGTCCCCGAGGTTTTTGGCCTCAACATAATCATGCATTGATCTCGTCGTAATAAAATCATAGCCCTTCGTGAGTCTACATTTTCCGAAACCCCGATGAGGGATTTTTTTTTTTATCTGGGCTTATTATTCTGTCGGAGAAAATGGCGGAAAAATAAACTAGATGCGGGCATTCTTTGACTAAATTTTAAAGGTGAACAGATAATATCATCCTGTACTCGACAACAACCCTCACTTTCGCAAAATAAAGCTGCGTGCGCACAAAACTTGGTTGAAGTTTTAAAAAGATTTTCGAGTACCTCCTCAATCTCAAAAGAGTGGCCTTTATGCATGACTCGATATTAGGCCTTATTCAATACTATGCTGGGTAAGCCTAAAGTGCCTCATTTGAAGATATTGAATGTTCTATGGTTTTTATTTCTGTGGAGGTCTTTTAAACTATCCCGTCTTTTCATCACTCCTCAACTTCAAAATAGTTTAGTCCATTTTTTCTATGAATAGTACGTATTCCGTTTTCCCCCGAAACATTTATACAGGTGTTTCTTACCTTATAGGCCTCATTTTTCGTCAATATTTTAAAATTTTTGCGCATAGTTTCCTTTTTTCAATAACCGATAAAAGTCATGGTGTGGCCTGAAGTCGAGGGCGGCTCATATTTGTGAAAATACGTTACCCACGAAAAATTGGGATTTTATCATTTTAAAATTATACATACTAGGACAGGAAGTTGAAATATGTCCTAAACTTATGAAAGATATTTTCGTCATTAAAATGTTATTTCACGGGTTAGTTGAACCGCCTGTCAGTAAAAGCCGTATTATGACGCAATGAATGAACATACAGTAATTCAAAAAGGGAGGCGTTTTAAATTCTTGAGATTGGATGGAGTCCAACACTGATGTGCAATATTTTCGGAAAATCAATCGAAAATGCTCATTCGCCTCTGTTCCTTGTGAATTTCGGATTCCCTGTTTAAGCTGGATCTTTATTAATAATATCAATACTGACAATCCTGACCGGTTTCCTTGAATGAAATGTATCATTGCCCTTGAGAACTGAATTTTTCATATCTTGAACCTGAAAGCTACGGAAGTCGACTTCTCTGGTTCGGAATTCTGAATAATTCAAAAGTTCTAAGCCGGAGGGAAGTACAAGTTCGTATTCGCGTGGGAAGTACCACGAAATGAGGAGGCCCGAGCAACGGGTGCACAAACAATGGAGCGCGTTGGGCTTCATGCGTGTGAATACGCGTGCAACCAGGTTATTCCGAGACAGCGAGCACGTAAAGGTTTCTAGGCCGCAACCACCGTCATGAAAAT